GTCACACAGATGTAATGATGTTGATGTGAATTATTTGTCATGCTGATGCGAATATTCAATTATAAGTATAATAATTACATTTCACTTTGGATTGGTTCAGCATTTTGCAATGTCGAAAAGTTGAAACCTTAAGATATGAATGCATGAGCAATTATTTAAGCACATATTTTTTCCATCTATTCGAATTCAATAGTTGCAAGTATGATTTAATTGGATCAGTATTTTTGATAAATTTGTGAAATTTTATTTCTGATCTTTTGGAATTAGGATTTTCGATTACATTCTAATACAACATGGTTGTGCAAAATTCGATTTAACAAAAATAAAAAGTATGACAAAAAAATATTACAATTACTATCGAATAGCTTTTGTTACACTGTATTTTAAAAATTTTTAAACTTTTTTGTACTTTTCATTTTAGTAAAGTTAGAAAATATCACCGAGGAAGGTAAATTGTCAAAGAAATCTTGTTTAAATATGAAAATTGGTTGATGGAAATTTCAATAATTCTGGTGATCGTAAGCCATCCATTAGTTTGTATGCTCGATCAAACGGGAATCTCGGATCAAATTTCGGCAATGTACCAAATAATTGATAGCTGCCATCATTTTGGGATTTTTTTAATGCACCATTTTTAGTCCATCGCCTATCCTTATCACTTTTCATTTTATGTTTCGCATTTTCTGACATCCTACGCACGTCATTTTTTCTCTGCAACGGTTGAAATTTTTTGGAAATATTTTTGTCTTCTTCTTTTCTTAATTGAAATCTATTTGAACCATAAGCCGGATTTGCTCTTCTTTCGGGAAAGGAATTTTCTAGTAACGATGCTGGCACATCTGCTACTCTCGAAAATAATTTCCGAAAACGCGAAATATCGAAAGTCGGAAATTTCGACATTTCCTCCTGAAATTCAAATAGTAATAATACAATTGAGATGCATCTTCTAAATGTAATGGTCAAGAGTTACTGAACCGTTACGGATGGTCATTGTTGTTATAAAAAAAAAAAATCTTAAAAACACATTTCTTGATTGATAACCTTGGAGAAATTTCTCATTAAAAACTGTCAAAAAAAAATTTTCTTTTTTGTTTTTTGAAAACAAAAAATATGAATAGTTATTTATTTTACATAAAAGTTTCTGGTCATGAAAATTACAGTCAGACCTGAAAAATGCTCAGTTAATGAAAATTTACGCATTATTACTATTATTGTTATTTTATTATCAGTTTGAATGATTTTGTTTACTAATTTTATTTGTTAAAAATAAACGAAATTTTGGCTTTGACAGAAACCAGTTTTTTTTTAGAAAAAGTGATAAATGAGAATATTTCAATCAAAAAAAAGTATATTAATACAGATGATACTACTGTAATTTTCAGTTTTTCATAAAAATTCTGAATCATTTGAATTTTGAATTATAAATTTTCCATTCTGAATTTTAATTATTTTAATAGTCAAAGTTAAAAATCATGTAGCGAAAGATGAATGAAATTGATTCAATTTGATAATACGATCAATTTTAAATACCTGTGCTTGATCAAAAATATCGCTAGCTAATCGATGCACAATTTCATATTCTTCTTGCGTACGCTTTCGAGCATTTTCATTTTCTTTCCATGCATTTTTAAAATATAGGTTACTGATTTTTTGTGGAAAATCCGTTATATCAGAATTTTCCGATTGATGCTAAAATAATAAAATTGCGAATTTCCATCGATTTTATAAGAAAATAAAGTTTTAATTGATCAAAAAATTTATATCATTGATGTTTATATTAATTAAAGCTTTGAGTTTCACTGTTTATTTTTTGCCAGAAATTAAATCAAATGTTCTTCCTACATATTAAGTTAAAAATCTCAAATTTATGGGATAATTTTTTGGAAATTAAATCAAAATAAACTCAGAGAGTTTATGTGTTATGAAAAAGAAAATAAATTAACAACAAAATAAAGCACTTTACCTGAAATTGTTCAGCTTGCGCATCTAAGAATTGCATTTCTTTAGCATTTGATTGCCAATGCTTTTTTGGTTTATGATTTTTTGAATTGCCTATTTGCTTAATGTTTCCTGCCATATCAGTCTGATCACCACCAATTGAATCTGAAAATATTTAAAAAATAAAATTATTCAAAAATCATGCTATTGAAAAATATGACATCATATTTTTAATATTAATTTAATTTTAATTGCTACCGCTCTTGCAACCATAAAAAATTATATCGCAAAATTTTTCATTTTAAAACTTGATCATGCTATATTTGACTAGTATTAGAAATTTGGTATAATTAGCTAAGTTTAAATAGACAAATGCTAGATTAAATACCATATGAAAGCAAAAATTTAGGCCTCTGATCAGGTGAAGAAGGCGTTTCATAAATGTATTCATAATGTTGACCAAAATGTTTGTATGGATGTTTGACGTGATTTCCCTCCTGTTCTGTATCTGTAAAGAGAAATTTGTGAAAATTTGAAGAGAATTTGGAATTTTTGCTATGACTTAAATTATCCTCTCTAAAATATGTGAAATTTACAACTGACCAATTTCATTCAATATTGCAGGAAATATGAGAAAATCCAAATAAAATATAAGGCAGAAAAAAGAATATCGAAGCATTCGTTCTTTTTGAACTTTTAAACTTTGCACCAATTTTGGCTCAATCTTTCAAAACTGCAACAAACTTTGTTTAAAAATCTATAATAATTAATTTAATTTTATGGTACCATGGAAAGTGTTGGAAATAAAATTCCGAAAATTTCAAATGATATTCCATATTAGGTCGACATTTACATAATAATGTTTGATTTTGTGTCTTTTGATAAAATTTATCCTTTGAAATTACGATTCAAAAAACGGAACTATGACTGTCGCACTAATGATTCAATCAAAAATAATCGTTGAATATTACCGCCCACTGCGGGAAAGATATGAAAAATTCCTTCGTAATACAATTATTTGTGTTTTTTTTTTTGTCACAAAATAAAATTGTTCTTGAAAAATTTTTACAAAAGATGATTATGAAGAAGTAATTTGTAAATGCTCGTTAGTAAGTTAACGTCGTGAAATAAAAGTATGCATGAGAATGAATCAATTATTTAATTATATTTTAATATTTCAAATTACTGTATTTACTGTGCTATTCGAACGTATGGTAAATAAATGAGTGATGAAAAAATATTAAATGATGTATGAAAAATCGTAACTTCATTTTAAAAGATAAAATTCTCATTGGTATAAATTACAACACTGTTCAATTTACTTCTAATAAGTAATTTATTAACGAGACTTAATGCCATGCTCATCAGCAGTAAGTGTAAAAATATATTATAGCATGAATATAATGAAATGAAACTTGAAAAATGCGGAATTGGATTATTGATTATTAAATTGTATTGAGTTTTATTGCTAAAACGAAATAAAATACAGTGTTTTTAACAAAAATTATAATGAATTGGAGTGTAAAATGAATTTAGCGTAATTAATTCTGAAAATCTTTACATTCAAATTTCATAAATTTTTCAAAAGAATCAACAGATGAAATTAAATTTACAAATTAACATAAACAATAATAAATATTAATTCATTCGAGGTGTACTGATTTTTTAAAGCAATACATAAAACAAAAAGTAGAGAAGAAAAAACACGAATGAAAGTTGCGATTTAATGTGAGTGAAAATTTCAAAAATTATTAGTTTAAACTGGTTTAAATTTCAAGGATTTATTTTATTTTAAAAGATCAATTTTAAAATACTTTAGTACAATATTATCTCTAAAAAAAAAAAAAAAATGGCGCAAATTTTGCTTTTTTATATGTGAATCTTTGCAGAAGTTTATTCTCATAATTTCTTCAACACTCTTTCCAATGGAAACATTGAGAAGTTTTTTGTCTCCGATGTTTCAGATCTCCTCCACCAATCCACTTCGAAAAATTCCCATCTCATGAAAAGGAAATATTGAATTGTGTATATTTTTTGAGTAGCGTTTGCAATTGATGCTGAAATTAATTGTTGCAAATAGGATCAATTGAAATATGAAATTTAAAAGAATTAAAAGCATGCAAAATTAAAGCTTATAATTAGAAAAAAAATTTTAGGCAATACGATCAGTTTTGTGCAACTCTTTTCACTTCTTTATTTTACGTCCAAAAAAAAAAAAAAAAAATCACATCAATTCTTGTGATGATGTATTAATTTCAGCTTTAGTTAATTAATTTCAATCGTTATTCTTTTATTACAATGAACTCAAAATTTTTTCATCTTAAAAATTGTTTCATCGATCATTCATATTATATCTACTTCTCCTACAGTGGTAAATGCTTTTCGAACAAAATACATTTTCCAAATTAAAATTTTACAATAAAATTGCAAAATTTGCAGTGATTTTCAAATCCTATTTAGTTTAAATCTAACCATCGCAGATTATTATTCTTTTTTTTTGAAATTCAATTTATATTTAAAGAATTAATAGAAAATAAAATTTAGAATATTAAAAATAAATATACCTTCTAAGAAAGCATTGAACATTAGTAACGAAATATACCAAATTAAAAAATGCATTCTGTTTTCCATTTGAATTTCGAATGACGTCTGCAGATGTTGTTAATCTGTTATTATAAAAAACATTTCAAATATCATGACTATGATGAATATTGCATTGTAATAATTTAGGACAAAATCATGAGCATTATGATAATTAGCAAATTTTAATGACCAACTTTCGAAGCATCACTTTTGACAATTGCTCACCAAATCCTATGCATTAATTTTTGTTTTACATAATTCATTCCGCAGAATCCACTCTTTCCTCTTTCCTTTCTTGGTTCTCCTTATTTTAACATAAAATAATTGGAAGCCAAAAAACTTCCACGTGCTGATATGCACGTTTTAACCGCATGAACGATTTCTACTTGTAATTCGCTACTTCACAAAAATAAAATTGAAATCCTAAAACAACTGTCTTAAACTTGCTACAATTGCTTGCATGATAATTACAACGAGTTTGTTAAAATATTGCAAGACTTTTGCAAAGGTATCTATGCATACATGTAAAAATCCCTTCCTTGATTATGATCATTTTACTCAGCTAATCTGTGTAGCTCAAAATAATTTTAAAGATTTAAGTAAGAAAAAGCCTAGAGCGATTAAGCGAAAAAAAAAGTTTATCAAAAGAGAACATCACTTAATACCAGTTACCAACAATATGTGAGAGGCGGTTATTTGTTATACGACATAAGCATCATATGCGGGATTTCCAGTGATGAATTCCAGCCCAATTTACTTGCCAATTAATCGACGACCAGTTCTTAAGGAGCACATATTTCGCAGGATACAATATTTATTCACAGTCATTAACGAGTATATACTCTCAAGGATACAATTTACAGTCTTCTTTGAATATAAAATGACTTAAAGTCAATTCTTCGATAGAATAAAAACGAAGCTTTGAGAATAATTTGATACAAATAACAATTTCACAGTATAAATATAGCTAATTAAAGTGTTAACTGATATGAAATATCATAGAATTAAGTCCAAAAATACGAACAATTTGCAAAGAACCTCTTAAATTAATGACAACTCTCGATATAAAAGAGGGATAAAAGAGAGAATGATTATCTACTATTTTAGAAAGAATAAAATAAATCAGGAAGAGTAGAGGAAAAGGAGAAAAAAGGAGAAGTTAAAAGATATTCTTCGACAGTAAAGAAAATCTAATATGCAAATACGGCGCAATGTTTAATAAAGAACCTTTTAGTCTCACATTCCGTGTAAAATATTCTTCTTTTGCAAATGACTTGCAAATACACTTCGTATGCACTTTTTTCTTGTCTACGCCATTAAGCCTTTAAGGTGATTTAAAATTGAAATTCAAGTTAAAATAGTTAAAAAATATCCTTCAAAAGATTTGATTAAAAGACTATGATAAGAAATGGGAAAATAATATGAAACTAGAAAAACATTAACATATACATGAGTTTTTGCTTGTATTGTCACAAATAAATTGTTATTCTTATAGTATATATTTACCTATTTTTCTGTTTTGAATGAAAAATACAGTACGATGGCGACTTCACAAGAGCGATATGTCAATTCAATCATTTAAGAAGTGCCAAATTTTAATCTGAATTAAATCTTATAATCAGTAAATCTACGGCAAACTGCCACATACAGTTGGATTTCTTCCACATTAATTTCACTTTTAAATTTCAAAAATAAGATCGCATAATTTCTTAAAGTTAGAAAATTATTTCATGAAAAATTAAAGAACAGCCCAATCGAATTAATAAAATATCAGTAATAAGTACAAAATCTATGAAATCATACATTAATTAAATATCATGAGGCATAAAAAATATAAATGGTAAATAATACTGGAAGAGATCAAATTTTGATAAAATTAATGAATAAGTAACAACATTAAGTTCGCCATGTTTTAATTATAAATTAAAGATGAACCCTAGCGTCAACTTTACCATCTGCCTCATAAACATCGCAGTAATGTAAAATTCTTGAAGACATTCTCCAGTGGTTCCAGTATAAATCTGTTGTCATAAATATGATTCAAGTACTTGCATATCTGCAAATTGATGAAGAGTGAGCAATTTCTATAGTTTTTTTTTTCAAGGATTCAAAATAAATTAATCTAATTAACTAAAAAAACTACTAATCTTTTTAATAACTTTACAGTAAATAATAACGCCGAAGAAAAAGAAAATCCCAAAAGATGAATGATAGCCATTTCTTCAGTAACTTCTAGGTATATTTTTGACTTCTCTAAAACATCTAATGGAAATTGCAAGCAATGTAATCGAAGAATTAATAAACTAGTTATCGACTGAAATAAACGGCATATAGTAATAACTATTAGATTTATCCAAGCCTCTTTTACTTCTCCTTTGGATTTTTCATTTCAAACTTTCTTGTAGAAAAGTATTAATCGTTTTAAGTTCATAAACATAATTCATACTGAATACGTGCACTTTAAATGATAAAGAAAACATGCAAAGTTGCACAGTATACCGTTTCTATGTTTCGTGATTTGTTGTGTTTCAAAAGCAATTCGTAGTGGTTGTGTGGATGATACGGTAGGATGAAAAATGATAAAATGATTTGGAAGGTTGTCAAGCGATGACAATATGTCCGGTTCCTGCTGCAGAAATTATTTATGAGCCAACTGTTTAAGAACTGTCGGCCGCTATAAAACTTCTATAACCTAGATTAAAAAGTAATCAGAAAATCTTAGCAATAATATAACCTGAAAAGCTTTAATGCTTTAAAAAAGCTTCCAAAACTACGTAAATATGCCACTGGTTCATAAAAAAATCCAGTAAAGGGAAATTACACACATTCTTCTAATGATTATTACAGGTTCAAGCAGTTAACAAAAGCAGTCATTATAAGTGAAACTAACTTTTATGAAACTGTTCGAAGAAGAAAGTAGCGGCTGCTGCAACTTCTGTTCATTACTAAGTAGAATGGATTGCTGCAACTGCTGTTTATTTTCAAATTTTTCATCTAACGCATTTTGCTTACTTTTCTTTGCCATTGCTGCCAGTTTTTCACTCGTATCAAAATACCAAACTGTTATAGCGTAGCTAAAATCAAAATTCAATTATAATAATGCTGAGAACTGGCTCATACTAAAAGTGGCCCGCAATTATGATATTGCTAACAATTCTGGAGCAGTTACAAATGATTATGCTTAAGCAATGTCAGAAGCAAATATTGAAAACCCAGGTAATTATTATTTTGATTTGATGAAAACTAGTCGTCATATTCACATTCAGAAAAGTGAATCAAGAAAATGTTCAAACATATTTTCAGAAAGTTTGAGAATAAACTTGAATAAATTACCGATCCCGATATACTGGACGAACTTCATGCGGGTTCCGACGATCTGACCATAGAAGTAACAACCGGTCAGCTCGTGGCTCGATATCCACTGGGACATCCGATGTTTTGGGAAAAAGCCTGAAGCAACCACCATCCTGGAAAATGCAGTTAAGCATGACTAAATATCATATACAAAAAAAGCCCAAACAAGACGAACAATCACCACTATTAAAATTAAGATGCACAAAATAAATATATGCTATATTTAAACAAACTGATAGTTTGAAATCTGATCGCAGAATTAAAATTATTTTCAGATTACGAATTTGTCAAATAAATAAAATAGTTACCCTTTCAACATTCCAGTTTTGATTGCAATAATAAATAGCAGTAATGCAACGACCATCTTTCATTGGGTTATCAATGTGTTTCACATAATGTGTTCCATTTGATGGATATATTGCCAGCATTGCCTAAACAACCTGTATTTCACTAAAACATTAGCAATTTATAACGAAGCGGAAATATCTAAAATGTTATTCGAAGAAATCGTATCCATATACTGAACTGAGTGAGATATTTAAAAAAAAAATGTGAAGACGAAAAGCGGGAATAATTTAATAGTGGAAAATGGTGATCATTTTATTAATGATTTATTTTAATAAAAACGAAATTAACGTTATCTGCTTTCTTTTTCTTTTTATACAACATATGATCAATATTTGTGCTTGCACCTAAACGGTTAGATGTGAACGATTTTTTAAATAAATTCGTAACACTTTTGTTACGAATTTTTTTTTGGTAATTCTGTTAACGGTGTTACAAATTTTTTGGTAATTCTATTAACCAAAAATTAGGATAAAAGAATAGAAAGAAGAGATGACATGATAAAAAAAATTAGGAAGTGATCCCTTCATACATGACTGAAGTTTCTAGTAATTCAGATCCACGATATTTTAAAAACAATTGATGAATCAAGCAAACAGTAAAGATTTGAAAAAAAAGCATTTTCTTCCCATATTATCATTTACAGCAATCTGCACGTTGGTAAATTAGTGTAAGGAAACAGTAGAAACACTCTCTGAAATCACGTAAATTATCAAACAAAAGGTTATCAGCAATTACCCGTGAGCGTCCATTAATTTCATAGGGTACACGGCCATTAAAATGAACAATGATGGAATCAATCATTGAGACAAGCAATCGAACTGTCACTGCCACACTTACTTGTTCATCATTGTTGTCAAACCAATAAACCTGAAACTGATGCTATCTTTTTCAGAAAAATTACATGCGATCAAAAAAATTTAAAAAAAACAAGGCTTTTGTGTTTGCCGACAAATTTTTCCGGGATGGTAATTACTGGGTTAAAAAAGCACTTATCTTACCAATCGATGTAGAAGCTAATAAAATTTTCGATTTTTAGAGTTAAAAATGTGTAATAAATGTCATTCAGATTCGCTGAAAATTGTAATCGTGAAATGAAATGGGTTAGTAAGATCATGCAGGAGTCAACCTAATTTGCGTATGGTTCAGCTGTAAAATTCAAACATAATACAGAGTACACAATGATTCAGAGTGCAACAGTGCATAAAGCAATGAATGTAAATAGTGTATTATGATAGTGCGTTATCATAATGAATCGTTTAATATAGTAATTGCCAGTAATGGATTTCATGAAAGTTAGGAAAAGATGTATAAAGCCAATAACAAATCTAATTAAAATTAGACAAATAAGTGTCAAAGAGCTGCATGGGGATAAAGATCACTACTGCATAACTGTCATGTATTTTACAACAATAAATTCAACTCACCTCATCTGACCGTATATTTCGTGAGTTCGAATTCATTCTTGTTTCCAACAACTGTCCTGGTTTAAAGATACCACTATTGTACAAATAATTCATTTCTCTAAAATTTAAATTTGAAGATTTCGACAGGTGCAGGTACTGGACAAATTAGAACATTCTGCTGCTTGATTAATTCATTTATCTAAAAATATTTAGAAGCTGTAAGATACCTATGAATATGATAACAGTGATTTTGTCCAAGAAGATTATCCACGATGGCCCAACCATAATCATTCAAGCACTTAACAGCATGGTCCGCAATGCACTACAACTCGAAACATTTTCAGAACATTTTCCATCGATTTCAATAAAACTAATTCTAATCAAAAATGTACACAAATCTCAAAATCGGCTAAATTTTTGATTGTTAGTAATAGTTTCGCTTTATACCTTCAGATGCAAGGCAACTGCTTGCTGTTGATCGAATCCACTTGCGGTAAGTAATTTCAGGTGATCTTGTAGGCTAATCTGAAATAACAATAAATTTTTTCCAAAATTCTCAAATTTTCAAGCTTAAAAATGATGACTGACCTGAAACTTTAAAAAGAATTAATCTTCCAATTAGGACAATTAATTGTTAAAATACGAAACCAAGGGAATTAAGTATTAAAATTAATCTTTCTTTGAGAAGAAAATATAAAAATCAATACATTCTTATTGTTGTGAAAGTTCATTTTTTAGTAAAATAATTACAATAAGTCAAAAAATTACCGTGAAGATAGGATTAGTAGAATGATTAATCAGCTGAGAGTGTCTGCAGTTCATCTGCAGTATTCTCTTCCTCGATACTTTCTCCGATGTATCAATGATTTTTTCAAGAATCCGATTATCTCGACTGCTTGTGTTAATAAAATTTTCGCACAATCTATTGCCTAACAAATGATCAGAATTACGCATAAGTAATATCAATTATAAAAACAATATTTTATAAAATCTATCATTTATGATTTAAAGAAAATTTACAGAAACAAGTGAGAGCTATATTTTAAAAAATAACCAAACTTGAACGAGATCAGAGAAATTTTTTATAACTTAAATCACATTTAAACTTAAATTTCTCGTCTCAGAAGCAAATGAATAGCACCAATTTCAAGAGTTAAAATTTTCAATTTAGAAGAATGAAATTTATTTTTTAGCTTGCCAAATGATACATCTAAATAAAGGATGCGCATTCTAAAAGGTATTATTTTACCACTGACATTGTGGATATATATATATATATATATATATATATGTAATGATTATGGTTAATATTTATCATTTCAGTAATACCAAAATTTTCTGCAATTTCAACTATTAATGAAAATCGTCAACGTACCTAGCCATTTTGCATTGATCACTGTTGTACAACTAATAGGATCTATAACTTTATCAGCACTTTTTTGCTCAATCGTAGCAGCAGCAGCAGTAGTACTCCTTGCTAGCTGAGATTGTACAGTTTTGCAAAGTGGTTTATGCCGCTTCCAATCAAAATTCTGCAAAACATATCTTTGTCATCCGCAATTGAAGAAAATTTTCTTAATAACTGCACGCCAAAATCCACTTGCTTTGTAGCTAAATCCTTCAAGTTTTATTTTTCATCATTTAAGAATTGTGTATTGAAAACGGACAGCAAAAAAACTTCCTAAGATGAATCTATAAGATAGCATGTATATTCTTATTATGGCTGAGAAATTTGAACCATTGGAGAAAAAATATATTCCATAAGAATATAATGACTTTTTATTTTAATTAAAACCATCACAGCCAGAGGATGAAAAATCTCATTTCTTAGAATAAAGATCTTAGCCAATAAATGATATTATGTTACATCATTCTCATTCTAATGATACTCTTTCATTCATTGTCGTAAATGAATAAACCTTATTTCTGAACTTTCAGACTGTTGGAAATTTCAAACTAAGAAAGTCAAAGTTTTGGAAGTTTTTAAAACTCTGCTCTTAGTTATTGATATTGAAAACAAGGATTTTTAAGCTATCATAGAAATTGTAAGATGCTCCATTTTTTGTAATTACTACAATTATAAAACAGTGAACGTCAAAAATTTCCTCCTTGTGTCCTCGGTTTCTTTCAAACTATTGTCCTCTGTTTTTCATAACCAAATTTATGATTCCAGTGTAAGAGATTGTTTTCTTCCAACAAAACAATGCATTCCACTTCTTCTTTCATTCCCTTCCTTTTGTCTGTTTGTGTGAGAATGTCAACTTTTTTTACATGTGATGGAATGTATGAAAGTTTACAAAAAAAAGAAATACTATCTTTTCACAGATGTTTTTTCATCTCCATAACTTTTCGCATTTAAAAATTTTCTTAAGAAAAATTTTTCTTTGAAAAAATGCGACATTTTTTTTACAGTCGAAACCATACAGAAATATTTCATTTTTGAGCATCATTTTTTTTAATTTTCGCACGTTTGGTTCTTGCAATTTTATTGGCTTTACGTAAAACTAAGTACACGAGAAACAAACCAAATTTTAATAAATGTTAAGAAATGATTTCCACAGTTATTATTTGACGAAATCATGCTAATACTTAATTCATATTAATGAACTGAATAAATTATTACTGGTATTAATCAAAATCATTTATAATAATTTTTGAAAAATAGACAAGAAGAACTTTTTGTGCATTCCCTTTTATCAGTTCCATGAATAATTTTCCATTTATTTTAAAAATCTTCAGAATTTCTAAATTCCTCGTAGAAAACAGATATGCGACTTTAATTAATTACCAAGAGAATGCACTGTTTTAAACTATTGCAAATCTCTGACGATTCCTACTGTTGAACGATATTAATTAAATACGAGACCAGTTTATTATTAAAAATACCTTACATATTCCATTAAGCCTAGGTTTTATCCCTGTACTATTATTTATGTCTATTACTTCACTTCGTGACTTTACAGGTATTGAAAATAGTGAAAAATAAGAAAATGCCCGCTGGAGCAGCACGCTGGAACAATTGAAATGAAGATGAATAAGAGGAAAATTAGTACTTTGGAACTTATCCTTCACTACCAATATCACTCTCTTATTTATGACTCATCGAACAAACACACACTACACTGTTTGTTATGCATTCCAGTGCTTTCATATCTTTAGCAATTACTATACACAGAATACTGGCTCATTGCAATTACTCTAAAAATGAAGTAGAAATAAGTAAAAATGTAAAGATAAAGTTACTCTAGTAAGTAAAAATGTAAAGATAAAGTTACTGTACTCTATGTTCCTCGCTACAATATAGCACCATATTGCATTGTTTGCATTGTGATAACGCACCACCACCGACTGACTTCGGAGCTCCACAAACTGCACATTCTCTGGAAAATTTCATGAACCTCTGAAAACACTTCATACAACAGATTTCAATAAGAAAATTTTCAAAATCGAAATATTAAAATTGATCTCCAAAGAAAAAAAAAAAGAAAAAAAAAAACGATTCAATTAAGTTTAGTTAGATTCAAATTAATTCTGACCTGATCAATTCGGTTCAATAATTACTAGTTCAATTCAATTCGATATTTGATTAGCTCAATTTAATTGAAATGTCTATCAATTATCATAACTATTCATAATGGCTATTTCAAGTCTTTTCTCAGTCCATCAACATACTGTTTTTCACAAATTTTTTTCGAACTCTAATCCCTTATCTCTTTTGCCTCATCAAATCCACATTCTAATGCATGCAACCTTAACGTGAATCGCCGTGAACCCCCCTTGACCTCCATTTCGTCTTTCTTCTATCAAACGTTGCATTCCCGCTGCGCGCCACAAATCGTGAAATTGTCAGTGCTTTGAATATTAACAATCAATCAATAGTTATGACTTTATCAGAGTTTTGTCTATCTATGTAAATGTACTGTATATTACAGTAGACAAAAATTTACTGTTTCTTATTTGCTGTACCCATTTTTCGTTCGAAAAATCGATTACAACCTATTGATCTGTCACGTTTCGCTCGTTTTTTTTAGTCTGAAATTTCCATTTCATTTTATAATTTCAAGTGTTTTTTTTTTTACAACAATAATGAGTATAATCAAGTGACGTTACAATATCATGTTAATTATAATAAATGTGTTTTTTCTTCACAATTAATTAGACCTAAGGGTGTTATGACGTAACTAGTTGTGAGTGAAGTTACGTCATAACACCCTTAGGTCTAATTAATTTCGTAGAATATGCGTAATATTTTACACTTTATAAAATCAATTTTAAATATACACCAATCATACATTACAATCAATTAACTGCCTTGAATTTTCATTCGTGAAAAAAAAAGTGAAAAATATTGGAATCACAAAAGTAAATTCCCAGTAATCTTTTGCAATAAAATACCACTAATTAATTTTACCTATGCAAATACAAATGTTCAATTTCTTTTACCTTCTTCTTATTAATTATTAATTTGGGCCTATGATATTAACATTTAAATTTTCTCTCTTTACATTCAGCATTGAATGTTTGTTTTGTATATTTTGCCTAAATAATTACTCCAAAGAATTATCCTTTCATTTCTATCATTCTTGAAGTTTTTCTCTTCCATTCCTTCCTCTTGTCCACTTCTTGCTCACTTTTTTTTTTTTGTTCAAATTTCAAACCATTCATCTTTTTGCTGCACTCTTCCTTATTCGAAAAAAAAAAAATGGATTGGAAAAAAAAGAAAGTTCGTGTCCACTTTGTGATTACTTTTCATTGTTCAAATTTTTAAAACATACATCTCTTCGTTTCTCCTTTCTTCCCACCCGGATAGTATCATTTTCAATCAATGCTACACCAAATTTGCTTCAATGGCAAAATGAATTTAATGGAATAAAAAAAAGATGAACTTAATATAATCTTCGCATTCACTCTTCAAACTTCAAGAGTATCAAATTAATGATTAAATCCTTCTAGTAAATTCTCATTTTGAAATCTAAAATTTTTTATTCCTGATAAAATCATCAAACATTTCCCAAATGTTAGCAATATAATATGCTATTTTGTTAGCAATATAATATGCTTTAACAGAGCTTTATGATATAACATTTAAAAAAAAAATTCATCATCAGTGAATAGTTTAATCAGGAAAAACATACATTAATCAATTTTAAAAAGATTACTTATTTGATAATTGCAATTTTAATTTTCTTTCTTTAAAATTTGTTTGCAACATGAATTTCTCACTCTTTTTCTTTCTTTGTCGCTTTTTCTTTCTCTCTCTTTCCCTCTCTCTAGTTTTGAACATAAAAACTTGAATGCTAAAAATATTATTATTAAGATACCATTCACCGTAATTAATGAATATGTAATCAAAACAAATTCTTAAGCAATACTGAACTCTTTCGAAAGAAAAAAAATTGAGCATTAAATGAGATAAATTTCTCAAATATCATTTAAGAAATATTTCTCATTTTTGTCCTTTTAAATTCCCCCAAAAATCAGAAGATCCGTCTTTTAATATCAGTGATCAATAAATTTCAGCAATTAAACGAAATGCTAAGATGTAATACTTTTTCGAAATGCTAGACATTTGAAGAAAATTTGAGAAGTTCAAAAAAAGAAGAAAAATCCATTTGATAAAATAGCACAAACGATTGGGATACGGATTTTTCAACACATTTGTGGTGGGCCACTTTGGATCAAAGCAACAAATTGATTAATTCATTTTCTGGGCCATTGATTGATTTTAGGCCTTTAGTCTATTTCAATTTTAATTCATCAAAGTTTACATATATTCATTTGAAATGTCATACAAAATTCGTTGCATCCAACGACACATTTTACCAAAAAATTATTTCGTTTGATTGAAGAAAATGAAATGGAAAAGACCTCGAAAACATCCATTAAAATTTCAAAATCTTCACGCTGACAATTTTAACATTTTGCACGCAAATGTTTTTGTTTGGCAAAGTTTTTTTCCTCTCTCATTTCTTTTTTTTTTTTCTTTTTTAAAAATGAGCAAAATGAATTTGCGGAAGTCTTTCAGAAATAAAAATAAAACGAATGCAATGAAAATGGTTTGTTGGGATGTCGAAATGTTTAAATTGTTTTCAACGCATACAAAGGCAGACAGACAGACAGACACACACACACACACACACTCACATACACACATTCGAGAACACACCCAAATATTTGCAACGCATTTGAGGTGATACAGGACCACCTCCTCAATTTGTATTTTTTTTTTCTTAAAATTTCTAAATTAAAAGCATTTTTTGATGGTACCGAAAAAAAAATGCCAAGCTTTAATGAAAGATGAAAGAAGGAAAAGAAGAAGAATTACAAAGCAATTTCATCTTTTTGATCTTTTCATTTACTTTAATTTCTTTAAGTGGTTGAAGGAAACGAAAACTTTTACGATTGAAGAAAACTAATAAGTAACATTGGAAATTGTAATTCAATTATTTAGAAATAGGTAATGTGAGACGGATCGATGACCATCTTATTGGAATAATACCCGGGTCATAGGTCATGAAAGAAAGAAAAAAAAAAGAAAATTTCGAGAATGTAGCAGATACTATATAATATATTAAATATGAGTAATTCATCATTTGCAGATGTTATATTAAATTTATGGGACATCATTGTCGTTGGTGACAGATAATAACTTTTCTCGTGACATTGGTCGTACTAATCAAAGGAAATATTAGTCGTATTTTTACTTTTTTTTTTCGACAGTTAACAATGGTAATCATATTATTTCGAGAAATATACTAAAAAAAAACAACAGTGATATTAGAGAATAAAAAAAAAACATAAAATTAAAAACAAAAAAATGAATGATGTCATATATTACACAACTCCACATGAATCATACCATCAGTTGCTGTGGAAACTAAAAAGAGGCAATCAATTTTCGGACTTTTAAAATCATAAATTTATTTAACTTACATATGAGCACCAATATATATGCAAATTGTTAGCAAATAAATCATGTTTAACTTTAGAGTAAATTTGAAGTATAAATTTTGAAGTCTTGAATTTGAAATTCAAATATTTGATTTTTTAATTGAACATTTTTATCCCACTAATATTTGTAAGCCAGTAGTAAACCTGTTAGTATTTTTGATTGAAATTAAAAGTTAAAAAAATATTCAGAGAAATGAAAATAGTGAAAATAAGTCAGAATAATTTATATTATAAATTAAGAGGAAATGACAAAAGGAAATGATGAAGTGCTTGTGGAACAAAAAGAACAGGGGGAATTTAAATATTATCGGAGGGGGTTTGACAATTTTTGAATGTGACAAATTAGAAATTGAATATTCCAAAAACGCTGCAATGTTCGTTTAAATGAGTAATGCTATTTTTGAAATTGAATGGTGTGAGATGAAGTAAAAACAAAAAAAAAAATTATAATAATGAAAAAGAGGGAGCAATAAAAGTGCAAACAGATAAGATATCTGTGGCGCAAATGTTGACATTTACGCCGCACATACAAAAAGAAAAGTTTAGCAACAAATTATTTTAATTGAATTATATTAGAATAACATAATTTGTCGATTTATTTACTTTTCTTTTCTACCAAAATTTTCGGTCTTGATATAACTTATTATTAAACGTATAAGTAATAAGTTTAATGAGGAAAAAAAAAGAGAGAGAGAGAGAGAGGGAGAGAAAGAGCTACAGGTAACTGCTAAAGAAAGTGCAGCTGTTTTTAATTTAAATATTTGTATTCGATCGGCCTTGATATAACTTATTATTAAACGTATAAGTAATAAGTTTAATGAGGAAAAAGAGGGAGAGAGAGAGAGAGGGAGAGGAAGAGCTACAGGTAACCGCTAAAGAAAGTGCAGCTGTTTTTAATTTAAATATTTGTAT